ATATGTCAGCCATCGGGGATGGACGATGGCATAGTCTATCGGCCCAACCCTAGATGCAGTAAACATTTATTTTCCATCAGTTTTCATTTTTAAAAAGTTCTGATTAATCTTGGAGCTATTGTTTTGGTTCACGACTAAAAACTCTTTATATAAGATTTATTTAAAATCCTTTTATTTATTTTTTTTTAATGTGAAAAATATTTCCAGAACCAATGGCTCTTGAAAAAAGTGGATGGTCTTTGTTGTGCTCTATTGTTATGGCTTGCTATGACATTAAACATAATCATTCATTATCTTTACACAAACAAGCACATACATCTGTGAACATCACTAAACTACATTTTTCATTACTACACCAAAAAATTGAGGTGGTCTTGTGTAAACCCACTATTCAAATCTTCTTAAATTAGTTATATTAGTAGCAGCATACTTGCATCATAATCACCTAAGTGAATGTATATTTAATTTTGGGCTCAATATGGCTTGCTTAATTAAAAGGGTCATATGATGTTGCTAAAAAAAACATTATTTTGTGTATTTGGTGTTTTAGTCTTTGCAACTTGAGGGATCTTATCTATTCACGAACAGCTTGTAACACTCCAAAGATAAAGGGAAACTTGAAATCGCATCATATGATCCCTTTAATGGCTCTGTTCCAACCTGGTGAGCTGCCTTGCTGTCTGCTGCCCACACAGGCAGTCTCACAAATAGTGTTTCTCACACAAACCACATAGAGGAGACTGGGCGCAAAACTTATTTCAAAAAAAGTTTACACTTAACATGCAACTAAGCTCACAATCAAACTCTAATAAGCATAACATACAAAACATATGCAAATATTGGGGCAAAACTGTAAATTAGTTATCTAAGTTATGCTGCATAGCTTTTGGAAGTCTTCGCATCAAGGACCTTGTGAATTATGTTTTGTAATGCTGCCTAGGTAATTCACTTGGTTTTGAAACAGAGCTAATTTGTCTGGAAAGCCTGCTATTGAAAAAGTGAAAACTGACTGAAATTGACTGTTTACTGCATTAGCAAAGTGTAATTTAGACCTTTTCCATCTTGTTTTTTCACTCTAATGTGATCATTTAAATATTGAGTCAAACTGTGAAATAACGTGATATAGATTTCACCAATCATTAGACAAGCCAGAGCCTTTAAAATGGTTTAATCAGAGAATGAGTGCTCGGTTGGAAGAACACACATAATGTAAAGTGCAGATGTATTTATGCTTGATGACAAAACTTTTGGGGGGTTAAACAGTCATGAAAAATTTGCTTTGGAATCAAGTACATATATATCTCTGCTTTTGCTTATTCATGAATACAGTTAGATCAGCCTTAAACACACTTTATGAGCTAAGGGCTGTGTTCACAGCTTTATATGCTGTTTGAAGCCTCTACTGGAGGCAGCCTGGGAGCAAGATCTATCGCTCAATGCAGCTATAGCCCAAGGTCTTTTGAGATAGGGGGATGCTTAAAACAGCAAAACACAGAACATCATTAGAGTTTCTGTCAGAATACAACATCTAGGAGAGGGGAAGCATATTGTTGTGTACTTGATATTTCGCCAAAATGATGGATGCGTCCCTGAGAAAATTGGTAACTGGGAATGTCGTCTTAGCATTTCTCATTATGATGTATCCAGCTCACTGTCCTTGAGATTGCTACTGCTGGACAAAAATCACAACATACCTCACCAATGGAAATACTGCATATGACAAATAGGAAAAAGGCAGTAAAAGTTAATTAAATAAGCTGCTCTAGTGAGTAATTGCTTTGCATGCTTTGCATTTGTTTTATTGTTTATTATACACAGAACAATGATAGGACTAGAGGTCGACCGATTCATCGGTTTTTCAGTACTGCTACTGCTTTTTTAAAAATAGTAAAGCTCTGTTTTAGTTTTCGTTTACCATTTTAAAAACTATCGGTTGATTAATCGGTATCGGCCAGTGTGGTCCAACCTAGCTATCGTAATGGTAAAATCCACTATCGGTCGACCTCTAGATAGGACCCAACAGGGAAATTTATCTCAAAAATATGCATTCATGTCTCAGATTCTCTGCGGAGATGCGAACGTCCTTCAGGTGCTGCTTTTGTTATATACACAATAGGATGTCTAAGAGCTCTAGGGAACTGAGTGACACTGCTTCAACCTTGGCGAGCCTGAAAGGCCCAGGAGACAGCATGCCTTTCGTTAAGCTTGAGCTATGATGAGAATTAAACGCACTCACATACAGTACATGGCCAAAAATATCCAAAGACCTAAAAAAAAAAAAGCATTTTTGTCCATTTATTGATAAGGCACTGGAGACCTAACAGAAGGGAAAACTGGAAATATCATTGTTCCTCGAGTTAATAATGAGCATGAGCATCTGTTTTAAAGGGCCTGTGCTTGATTTGGAAGGATGCTGGTGTGAGTACACCGTCTAATTGGCTACTACTGATGATCTGAGGCACTTCCTCTCAGGAAAGCCGCAAGCACATGCCCATCATCACTCAGCAAATCAAACAAAATAATTTCAGTGTCTTGTCCTGTGTGAGTAAATTTTCAGTGACTGTCAGGCTCTGTAATGGATATTTACACCTGAATAAATGACATCCATTTACTTTTTCATAACAGTCTCCTTGAAATGTTAAAAATG